GGGGTTTGCTTCGATGCCTCGGTTTGTGACTAGGAAACCTAAGAATTTTTCGGATCCCACGCCAAAGGCACATTTAGACGCATTCAGGCGTAGCTTGTGTTGTTTGAGAATGGAGAACATCTCGGCCAAGTCGGACAAGTGGTCTGCTTGATGCCAGCTCTAAACCATCATATCATCTATATAAGCCTCCATTGTCCGGCCTAGCAGAGGAGCGAACATCTTGGTCACCATCATTTGAAAAGTTTCCCCGACATTTTTCAAACCAAAAGGCATGACTCGGTAGCAGAAGACTCCCCTCGGTGTAGTGAAGGAGGTGATCTCGCGGTCGGGGCCATACATGGCAATCTGATGATAACCGTGGTAGGCATCCAAGAAACTGAGCCTGTTATGTCCAGCCGTTAAGTCCACAAGTTGGTTTATTCTGGGTAGTGGAAAGCTGTCTTTAGGGCAAGCTCGGTTTACGGTCTTGTAGTCGACACAAACTCGTCACTTCCCATTCTTCTTGGGTACAACAACTGTGCTTGAAATCCACTGAGGGTAGTGCACTTCCTGAATAGCTCGTGCCTCAAGCAAGTTCTTCACCTCTTCCGCAACTACCTCGGCATGATGCAACGCCGATCTCCTCGTTCTCTGAATGATCGGCTTTGCACCGGGAAAACACATTCAGGTGATGGCAAATGAAACTCGGATCGATGCCGGGCATGTCATAAGGCGACCATGCGAAGACTTCGATGTTTGCCATCAAGAATTCCGCCATATCGGTCCTTTCTTGGGCGGTAAGGCTTGAGCCGAGCAAGAAGAACCTGTTTGGACTTTCTGTGTCGATCCGAACTTCCACCAATTCTTTAACAGCCTTGTCCTCAGCCTTGGTGCCCACATCGTCAAGGACTCCCCGGTCTTCTGGTCCCTCAATCATTTGGACGAAGCCTTTGGCAGCTCGGCTCCCGTTGACTGCCACGAAGCATTGCTTCGACATGACTTGATCGCCTTAAACTTCCTCGATTGTCCCTATAGCCGAAGGGAATCTCATCACCTTGTGGTAGGTCGACGCTACGGCCTGCATAGCGTGAAGCCGTCCCCTTCCAAGGATCAAGTTATATGTGGATGGTACTTATAACACCCAGAACTCTACTTGCTTGACTATGGATCCCGCTTTGACCGGCAGAATAATCTTTCGCAAAGGCCACTCAGGTTGTGAGTTGAAACCAACCAGTGGCGAAGTTGCTGGAGCTAAGTCTGTATCTCGGAGCTTGAGCTGTTTGAATGCGTCGTAATACATGATCTTGACCGAGCTTCCCTGATCGATCAAGATGCATTTGACATGGAATTCTTTGACGCGGAGTGTGACCACTAAGGCATCGTTGTGCGGCGTCTGAATGCGCTCTAGGTCCCTTGTGGAGAAACTGATCACGTCTTTTTCTTCGGTCTTGCCCCTTTTGATCGCAGGCTGGACCGACAAACCTTCCCTCATGTGCTCCGCTTTCTTGATCATACTTCGGAGTTCACATACACGTGCCGGTTCCACAATGCCGTGGATCACATTTACAATGCCCTGAGGGGGTGCCTCCAAGTCATTCGGTCCACGCGGATCAACCGGAGCAGGATGCGCGGCTTTAACACCCCAATCAATGTAAAGGTCCAAGTGTCCGGCTGCGACTAGCTCCTCTAAGTGTTGCTTCAAAGGCAAACAATCCTTTGTCCGGTGTCCGCACTCCCGGTGAAATGTGCAGCGGTACCGTGGATTGAAACCCTTCTGCGCATCGCCTAACTTAGTAGGAAATCGGACATAATCCTCGTTATGGATTTCACTAAGTATGCGATAAATTGGAATCTTGAAGACCGTGGTGATGCCTGTCCTAGCTTTTAACCTTCTGTTCGCATTAGCTATGTCGTCGCGGGGGTATTCATCTCGGTCATTCCGTCGACCCCTACCCCAGTTTCGACGATTTGAACCTCGGTCAGATTCCTCGGCGCGATCATTTGAACGGTTGGTCTCCTATCCAACCGCGTACACCTTACCAGCCGACCTCTTGTCTGTTGCTACCGGAGTTGCCTTCGCGGTAGACTCTGCCGCATCATCTTCTACTCGGATGTGCTTGTTGATGCGTTGCATTAATTGGCCCATGGATGTCGGCTGGTGCATAGTAAGCGAGTCCCGCAATTTATGTCCGACCGGGAGACCACGCTTATATTGAGTGATTGCCAGGTTGACCGAGCAATCCAAGATCTCATTGAAAGTTTTCCAGTATCTGGAGTTGTATGCCTTGAGTGTGTCACTCGGCTCCATCTTGACACTGAGAAGGTGGTCAACTTCCTTTGGCGTTTTGGTGTTAGTCTTGAAACGTGTCACGAAGGCTTCCGCCAATTGTTACCACCTTTCGATGCTTCCCTCCGGCAACCTCTCGAACCATTTCAAGCCCAACTCGCCCAAACTTGACGGGAAGATAAGGCACATAAGAGCGTCATTTCGCCTATGTCCGGCCATGACCTGTCAGAAGTGGCTTACATGCATATATAGATCGGTTTTTCCGTCGTAGAGCGTGAACTTTGGCTAGTGGAAGCCCGTCGGAAGCGGTGTTGTTTCTATCTCTAGGGAGAAAGGAGTGGCGCTCAGCCTCGCCAAATCTATGTCTAAAAGGAGAGGCGCAGCTAGGCGGGGTGGAGGCATTCCGACCTCTTCACTGGCATGAACCCCATAGGATAGTCGCTGGAACGCTGACACCCTCTGAGCCTCCCGCCGGCGAGCCCGTTCCTTCAAGACTACCCGTAAATCCTCTGAACGAGCAGAATAAGAATACCTCGACGTCGTCGCCGGACGTGAGGGTTGATAGGAGCTGTCTTGCGTGTTGGACTTCTCTACGTGCGCGTCGGAATCTCCAACCTTGTAACTTCTGGTGATTGAGATGGACGGCGTACGCCGCTGGCTCTGACTGCCTGAACGGCGGGGTTGGGTGCGCTCACTGTGGTCTTTTACTCCAGCTACACCCTTCCCTTTGACATGCCACTTAAGATCCTCCATCTCCGCCGCCATTCGCCAGATGACGGCGTCTTGGTCCCGTAGCTTGTGTTCCAGTCGTCTGGCATGCGATTCTTTCTGCCGCCGGTGACCGTTTGGACTCCGTAAATGACCAAAGCTTCTTCCGCGCTTATCCCGCGCGTCTCTTGAATGTCCTCCTGGAGAAGTCTCCAGGCCCGCCATAGGAAGGATGACGGGATGTCCTTCTCTCCGTCTGCATGACTCCGGGGTAACTCCGTCGATGGTAGACAATGGAAGCTCGTCGTTGTTCGCCATGGATGGCGATCAGATGAGCCTTTAAAATAAGGTTTTGTCTGTCAACTTCCCACAGATGGCACCAATTGTGCGGGGAGCAAATATTCAGGCAATCCCGTATTCCTTTCTTCCAAGCTCCTGTTTGTCCAATCAACCTGCGAGCATAACGGCGGTGAGCTACCCGGCGGTGTGTGGCCGGAAAACCCCTCCGACGATCAAGTTAGCATACACATACAGGGATAGATAGAGAGGAGAGAGTTGAGTGTAAGTGCATATCTCACCAAATGTTCATCTGTCAAGCATGGGGGGCGCAGACTCGCTTATATACTTTTTGCGCCCCAAATCTACTCCCATTAGTTTCTCGACACGTGGCGCTGCTATCCCATTTGTCAGCACAAATCTAGTTGATCATCACCTAACCAAACTGCCAGCCCACACTACCGGGATCTCGGCAACCGGGCTGCATCATCTCAGCTGCCAACGGCCGTGTTGCACAAGCTAGAGCGCTCTACTCGCCGAGCTCAATGACGACCGAGCTCGGTTGCATTCCGGCATAGCCGAGCTGAAAACTGGTCGAGCTGGTAAACCGAAGACCTTTCTAGCCGGGCTGGAAGCGCGAACCATGGGAACGGACCAGCTTCCATTATCTCGGCCAAATTACCCAATTAGCTCGGTTCCCACATAAACAAGCCAAGTAGCTCGGACCTAGCATGGTCCTGGGCCATTACCGAGCACAACCCTCTCTGCAAAGCCCAAGCTACCACGGCCCACAACGTGTTCGGCCCATAATTTGCCCGGTCATTACCACGGCCCAATCTAGCTCATAAATTTCCCTCTCAATACTTAACCTTTTTTGGTGCACATATAGCCATAGTAAAATTAATGAAAAATGATATACAAATCTACTATTTAAATTTATTTTCTAAACTCAATGATATATAAATGATATAATTGAAAAAAAAAAGAAGAAGAGAATAATTGATAGGATTTAAATTCCAAAATATGTTTGGTTAAATTGAAATAAAAGAAAATAAAGAAATCCCCTTTCTTACTTTTTCTTGGCATTTCTCACTATATCTCTTATGATAAGGAAAAAAAAAAAAAACTTGTGTTATGAGAGCAATATGTATATAATTTTTTCTGAATTTGCTTAAACAATCCTCTCTATTATGAGTTAAATTGAGCAATCCTCTCTGTTTTGAGCCCAATATATTTTTCTTTCCAATTTTTCCGTTTCTTTTGTCATAAAGGAAATAAAGTTCCAGAAGACACCTCAAATTTCTTAATTCATTTCTTTCTTACTTTCTTTCCTTTGTACTTTCCATTATAACCAAACAAAAATTGAAATTGTATTTTATTTTCTCTTTTTATTTTGCTTATCAACTCTTCAAATCAAATAGAATCACAATTGACCCTCTAGAATTCAAGATTTCAATAAATAGAAAAAAAAAAAAAATTAGAATGGTAATAGGAGACTATCATTGAATTCAACATTTCTGGATAGTACTCATTTGGAGAATGTTCAATACTCATTTGGAGAACATTCAATGCCAAATAACAGTCATGGCATAATCACTTGCCACCACTTTCATTGTAGTTACCACTTTATTGTCATCCTAGAAGCTACTTATGCGAAATGGACTCTCTAGAATTCAAAATTGCCGGCAAGTGTAAAAAGAGAAAGGACAAAGAAAGACTGGAGATTTATTTATTTTTAAGCCAGAGACTAGAGACTTTGTAGAGTGTTTTAGTGAAGGATATGATGATGATAATTATAGAGGTCTAAGGAGAATGTTAGGGAGATTAGCATAGCATGATCAGAGAACCTCTGCATTGAACTAAGAGGTTAGTGGTGTTTATTTATTTGAAATTTTTTCTCTAAATTTTTTCATTGGTTACATAATATTATATATTTCATCTTTCTATGATTGTTATTTATTTAGGTTTATTGTAATATTATGTATTAATAAAAAATCATGACGTTGTCCCAAATTATTGATGGCATGAGAGATACTTTGAGAAACAACACATAAGTTCAAAAAAGTATGCAAGATTTAAAATCTATAGCCAAGATTTATTGTAAGTGTAGTCCATAATAAAAACTTCAAATGTACACCATAGATTAATGGATGATTTCTTTTCCATTATTATCTCAATAAATGTAATGTTTTTTCGAAAATTGCGATAATGATAAAATCGCATACTTATTTTGTAGATGGCATTAGATAGTCAAAAAATTACTATAAGTTGTCATATCAATTTCTCTATATTTTTGTATATCTTTTCATAAAAAATAAAAAAAAATAACTAAAATAACGAATTCTCAAACAAACTCTAAATATGCAATTCAGATCTTTCCATTTTCCATTACATAGAACCTTTGTTTTCTAGTTCCATAAACTTTTCCTCCGGGAAAACATAACCCAGCTCTCACATGAGTTAACCCATTTGTTTTCTTAAACTCAATTTCACCGGCCAACATGAATGAGAGAGAAAGAGAGGCTTTTGTGGCGGCGGCGGCAACTCCACAAGGATGGACTTAGATAGATAGATTACCCCTTACGATTTAAAAAAACCTCTTTATTATAGTATTATTAGTTAATAATTATGTTTAAATTATACAAGCTCATCTCTTATACTTTTTTTTTTTAAAAAAAAAAAAAAAAATTTTTTTTTTTTTCTAAAAAAGACAATAATTATGAGTTTTTGAAATAATTTAAGTGGTCACTCTCCTATATCTATAAAACAAGGGTGTTGAAATATATGAAATTACAAAATTTGGACAAAATATAATAAAAAAAATTAGTTTCTCGAACCTATTATCAAGTACAAGCATTAGGCTGCAAGAAATATTTGTGTTTACATATTTTTCAATTTTCTTACTTTGAGAATCAACTATTTTAATTGATTTTTTTGATTTTTTACAAAAAGATGTTTAGAGAAGTAGAGAGAATACTGATTTTTTTTATAGCGGCTTTTTGGCTGAAATAACCTATTTTCAAACTTGGTTACCTAGGATTACCTATGCATGACCAAACCAAGGGTATAATGAATTTTCCCTTATTATTATTAAGATGTTTGTGACCCAAAATGTTAAAATGTTTGTATTCTCACATTTGTACATTTTGTGTTTGGTTAGTACTTTCTATGTGCATAGACTTTTTCTTATTTTTCCCTTTGAACTAATTACGATCAATTGAACAGGAGCTGCTAAATTCCATGGTTGTCCCTATTCCAAACAAGGTAAAAAGGATGTGGCGTGAATGGAATCTTCGTGTCGCTGTTCTCATCAGTCTCTTCTTCCAAGTATTGTTGATTTTCATTGCACCATCCCGGAAAAATACTAAAAATAGAATTGTAACCTTGTTGGTATGGGGCGCTTATTTGCTCGCAGATTGGATCGCAGTATTATCTGTTGGACTCATCTGCAGTGGCCAAGGTAACGATTGTGATGAGTATTGTGTGAAAGATGATCTCGCTGCTTTTTGGGCTCCATTTCTTTTGTTACATCTCGGTGGCCCAGATACCATTACTGCTTTCTCCCTCGAAGATAATGAATTGTGGCTTCGGCACTTGCTTGGCCTTTTCATCCAGCTTGCTGCAGTTGTTTATGCCTTCTGGCAATCAGTCCCTAACCAATTTCAGATCCCAACAATCTTCATGTTTTTTGCTGGAACTATTAAGTATGCTGAGCGGACACGTGCTCTATATCTAGCATGCTTCGGTAATTTAAAGCACTCTATGCTTCCAACCTATGCTCTACTTATCAAGGAAGTCAAATTAATGTTGGACAATATTCCATTTGGGATTGCAAATGGAAAGGAACTTGAGACCTGGGATGAAGAAAGCTTAACACCTAACCCCTTAACTGATATTGACGTGGTGAAAAATGGGTACATGTTCTTTCAAATAATCAAGAGACTGATAGTTTTTCTGACGTTTACCTTCCCTGAGCGCCATAAGAGTCGAAAGATTTTCCTTGAGATGACTTGTAAAGATGCTTTTCGAGTAATGGAAATGGAGCTCAATTTCATGTATGATGCGCTTTATACCAAGATGGTTGTGGTGCAGAGGAAGATTGGGTACGCTTTCCGCTTCATTTGCTCTGTTTTGATTGTGGTTTCCTTTGCATTGTTTGCATCCCATCATAAACACCAACTCCAACCCTTGGACATTGTTGTCACCTACACTCTTCTTATTGGTGCTGTTGGATTGGACTTTGTATCACTTGTCAAGCTCATCTTCTCTAACTACACTATAGTTTCGCTCAATAATTCCAATGCTGAAGAAATTGTTTTTGCGATCAAGGAAAGACTTTCATTTGGGGAAAGATGCCAGCGATCCAACTTTGTCTCACAACATAGTTTGATCAGTGACTGCATCATCAACGAACAGTTCAAATGGTTTGAAAGAGTAGTTGACTTTTTTGGGCTCAAGGATTTCTTTGATGAGATACAATACAAAAGAAACTCACCATTGACCGATGATTTGAAAGAGTTCATATTTATGGAGATAAAGAACAAGGCTCTCCAAGCAGAAGACCCAGAATATTCCAAGGAGATATGTTCAGCAAAGGGAAATTGGGTTCTCTCGCAATACGATTGTCTTCACCCCTCGATTGTAAACAGTGTGAAAAGGGAAGTCGAATATGATCATACCCTTTTGATATGGCATGTTGCTACTGACATATGTTATCACAAAAATGAATATAGCGATGAAGAAAAAAATAGCCAAAATAGGGAATTTTGTAAGATTTTGTCAGATTATATGTTATATCTTATTGTCATGCAGCCTGCAATGATGTCAGAGGTGGAAGGTATAGCGCAAATCAGAATTCAGCACACATACAAGAAGGCCAAAAAGGTCTTGAAGTCACATATGAATGTGAAGCCCCCAAACATATTTGAAAATTTCAAGAAATTCTTTCAAAGTAGACAATCAGAATTGATGCTAGAAAGGATCGTAGCGTGCCAGATTCTAGGATTAGAATGTAACGTGGCAGAATGTGGATGCAAATCGGTTTTGTTTGAAGGATGCAATCTCGCAAAGGAGCTGAACAAGTTGGGGAGTGAGAGGAGATGGGAGATAATGAGCAGAGTGTGGGTGGAATTGTTGTCATATGCTGCAACTCATTGTGGAGGACTTGCTCATGCCCAGCAACTCAACAAAGGCGGTGAGTTTATTACTTTTGTTTGGTTATTGATGGCTCATTTTGGTTTGACGGAAAGACTCCCCATTGGATCGTGCATGGTTGGAACCACACATTGAGGGCTTGTGTGTATCTTTTTCATTGTGGGTGAGAGAGGCAGAGCAAAAGGGTCAATGTGGCAGCCAAGAAAAATATGTTTTAAGATTATTATTTATAGCACTTTACAAGAAATTTGAACAAACTTATTCCATTACTATACAATGAAATATGAAAACACATATCATGGATCAAATAACACAATGCATATTATAGAAACTAATAATATTTAATCCTACATACTATTTTGATAATTCAACATTGGAGAATAGAGAAGCTCTAAGTTTGTTTGGTTTATTAGAATGAAATGATCATCATTCTATTAGAATTTCCATTCTTACGCTTGGTTTATTAAAAAAATAATAGAATTGTAAATAGAATACCATTCACCATCGTAAGAGAATAATCATTTCATAAATAATCAGGAAAAGTTTCAGGAAACTTGTAGAAAGAATCTAGTGTGGTAATTTATTTAAATTAGTTTCTGTACGGGGAGGAAATAATTCTCCTCGTATAATCCTGTTGGCCAAGTCCACGCTCCTCCGTACGACGTCGCTTTGTCACCTGAAAACACAAACGTGAGCTAGCCGGCGGGTGTGTGCCGGATACCTCTCCGATGCCTAAGTCAGAAAACTTGACAAATAGACAAAGCTCTAGGTTCTCAGAAAGATTGTGTTCAATTACCTCCTCCAAGGTGATGCTTGTGAGCTTTTATAAGTTTCATATGGCACAATCTTAGTAGGACTTGTATTTCTTCATGCAGAGTCCTCCTAGGATTCATTCTCCTAAGGATAATGCTTATCCTTTTACACCCTCCCCCACTGCTTAAACCAAGTGGGATGGTTTTCTCTATGGCCGAACTTCTATTTGACCGAAGTAAAATTGGCTATACCGAGCCACAGAGGGCCGAACTATCCTTAGCTCGGTCTTCTCCTCCAATTCTTTACTTCGGCTGCTCTGTTCAACCTTGATGTGCTTAGTTCAAACTTCCAAGTAACAAGTTCTGACCGACCTAACCATTGTAAGTCAAGACCGGACTAACTCCGAAACCGGCCTACTCAGAACATACCGTGACCGGACTAACTATGAGACCGGCCTCACTGTGAGTTGCCTCTAGACCGAAGTAGTTTCACTCGTCCTTGGGCCGAAGTAACTTTGTCTTCCCAAGGCCGGAGTAGCTTTGCCCTTCTGGGCCGGAGTATCTATTGCGGCCTTCTTACTTAGTCCTTCGCGTTTTGGGCCTCAATGCCCAACTCGCAGCTCGGCCCAATTTTTCCCAAAAATTACCCTCTCAATTGCCCCTTAATTCCATCTGCATAGCATGATTGGGATTACCAGTCCATCAGCCGAGCTGACGTCGTTTTAAGCCATTCTAGCCGAGCTAAAAACCCTCGAATTTCTCAGCCGAGCTAATTTTACTCCGGGCAATGTTTTGTCCGGTCAAAAACGTCTCTTCAATCATAGCGTCTGTAACGCTTCCCATTCCAGTGACACGTGGCAGGCTCTGGTTGGCTAAGGACGGCTGTCACGCCGTCTTCGGAATTTTTGTACTGTTCCCGCTTCTTTTTGCCGCCTTTTTCTCTCTCCCTTTTACACAAAATAACTTTCCCACTTCTGAATCATTTACCTGCATCTACCTTCTCTCTCTGCCTTCATCGTCTTTCTGTGCCTCTTCTTCCCTGCTTAAGCTTGTGTTCTTGCTGCCACCGTTTCCAACTCCAGTCTCCTTTCTCTCTTTTCTGGTAAGAAAATCTAATCATCTTGCTTTCTATGTTTTCGTATTTTACTTTCCATGCCTTGTATGTTTTTTGCAAACATCTTTCTCCATTTATCTGCTTTGCTTTTGTACTTTTTATGAAGAAACCAGTAGAACTCCATGCATGTATGAACTATTTTGTAGGAAAATAGTCTTAGATCCAAAATCACCTAGCAACCGGACTAGGATACTGTTTGTGTTATGTATGTAGATAGATTCAGAAAATAACCGAACTAGAACTCGTAGGACTATCAGTAGTTTCTTCTGAACCACTCTAGCCGAGATAAGATCACCGAACAAGCTTGCACATACCGAACTAGGTACTTCGGTCTGTAACCGAGCTAAGCCTTTCGGGGCCAGGCCGGCTTTCTTAGCGCCTAAACCGAACTTAGAAAGCCGCCCCTAGGGGCTTGACCGAAGTAACTTTCCTCATACTGCAACCGACTTAAGCCTTGGGACTAAACCAGCTTTCTTAGTTTTTTAGACCGAACTCAGAAAGCTGCCCCTAGACATTAAACCGGTCTAAACTGCTTAAAACCGAGCTAGTTTGAAGAGAATAAATTATGAAATAAATTACTTTCTTTTGCTATGGCTAAACGATTAATCTTTATTTATTTATTTATAACAAAGTCCCATCCTAACCCAACAATTCATAATTAGCATCATCAAAATTTATTACTTATTTAATGATAGAAAGATGCGTACGATAGTCTTTTTTAAAATAAATAATTAAAAGATTGCGGCCTTCTTACTTAGTCCTTCGCGTTTTGGGCCTTAATGCCCAACTTGCAGCTCGGCCCAATTTTTCCCAAAAATTACCCTCTCAGTTTCATAGTTAGATTTTAATTTTAAGTTAAGATTTAAGTTAATTATTGTAAGACACGGTGAGACCAAACATTAATGTAATTATGTTTTAATTTTGAAGTCTTAGTTTGCAAATAATATAAATTTAGTTTTGTCTTATAGTGATCTATGATTGATAGGTTGTAATTTAGTGCATGTGATTGCATAACATAAATAAAATACCAAAAACTAATTCAAAGATAGAGAATCTTCATGACCGTCTTCCTAATTTTTTTTCCCTCAAACGTAGCATTGCTAAAAAATAATCATTCCAATCCATTTTAAGTAAATTCTGTGGAATCAAACTTGACCTTAAAAGGCATCAATCTAGAAAATTACAATTTGAAAAAATTGAAATTTAGTGGGATCTTCTAAAAATAATTGCAAATTAGTAAAATACTTTATTAACTTTAATAATTAACATTATAATTTTTTTTTATATATATTTTTTTAAATTTGCAATTATTTTGATAACACTCCAATGATTTACAATTTTGTCCTAGCAACATTATCATGAAACACGTTTGCCACTCTGGAAAGTGATCACAGTTGAAAGAGGTAGAAGTATAACTTTTTAATTTGGGGCCAAAAACTGTAATGCATAGTGAAAGGCACATATACTCAACTGCACTTCCACTTTCTCTGATTTTCCTTCAAAAAGTATTGAATAATTTCTCTATCACCTGGCCTTAGAGTAAGAGGAACCAATTAGGGGAAGGAAATAGGTTTTGTATCACGAAAAATATTTTGAAAATAATAATAATATTAATAATAATAATAGCAATTTAAAAATTGTCAATGCTATGCCCTCTTCTTTTTCTCCTTATTTTAAGGACTTATTTGATTGGACGAATTATAGTATAAGATTGAAATTATTAATATGGAACTTATATTTTAGTGTTTGGATTAGATTATGATAGACATTCTACTTAATAGAATTGACAAATTTTTTAGTCCTACAATTAACAATTCAAAACAAACATATAATTTAAATTATATATTTCTATATCTATTGCAAAATAAATGTGGACATTAGAAAATTATTTATTTCACTAATCCAGTTGGATAACCAATCTTACATTTAATCTTATAAATTCTTAATTCTTTCACTGTTAATCTTACTAATGAAACAATACCTAATAGAATAAGTTCTATAACAGAGAATAAAAGGAGTTCTCTCATCCAACAAAGGGTAGTAGGGTATTTCTTTTTCTTCCTTGCTGTAATAGAACAAGTGTAGCTTAGAACATAAGAATTCTGTCAAGCAGCAAAGCAAAGAAATAGTACTATAACATGTAATAGAGTAAGTACAACTTAGAACAGAAGAATTCTGTCAAGCAACAAAGCAAAGAAATAACACTATAATAGGAAAAAAGAAAGGAGAATTGGTTATGATTATCAGATCGACATAAATTTTTTTAATAGATGATATACATACAAAGAACCCTAAAAATGAACAATTTAGATTATCGAAACAAGACTTGTGGTAAGCCCCACAGGCCCGAACAACACCCTTCAGTTTAAATTATGGATTGAAGGGAATCCAACTCCAACAAATAGAGTTAATATAAATATAGACATAATAAACAGCAACAATTCAAGAGAAAGGAGGAAGAGGTGGAAGAAGAGGAGGACAAGAAGGTAATTTGATTGCCATATCCATTTATCTATCTCTATTCTTGATGAATTAATGCCATTTATTAAACCGATCTGTATCTAAAATATAACTAAGCAAGAAATGGATAAATATTTAGCTAAAGAATTTAAATGATAAATGAAAAATTTATATACTTAAACATTAATTTATAACTAGATTGTCGAGATTACAATCTTATCTTAAACAATGAACAAAAAACAGGTCCTTTAAAAATATAGTATTACACAATTTTAAATTTTTTTTTTTATCAACTTTCCACTTCAATTTTTCATAATCCGTACAATCTTATCTTAAATGAAAAATGAAAAACTTATAAACTTAAACATTAATTTATAACTAGATTGTCGAGATTACAATCTTATCTTAAACAATGAACAACAAACAGGTCCTTTAAAAATATAGTATTACACGAATTTTTAAAATTTTTTTTTATCAACTTTCCACTTTAATTTTTCATAATCCATATCTGTAATACAATTGAAGGTATGAAATTAATTGCACAATTACACAATTTTGTTTAATAGATCATCCAATAATAAAAATTCATTAAACCCATTATTGTATATTATTTGCATACTAGTGGTGTAAGAATGCATTAATATTAATATGTAATATATTTTTATACATTAAGAGATGTTGAGTCTTGTTTTATGTGTTACGAATATCTTACATGATGAAAAATATAGCATTAATCAATAGCATATTTTCATTTATGTGGAAAATGTGGAATAGTTTTTTAAAGAAAATAGAATAATATTGTAGCTTTA